AAATCTTAACAAAAAAAGATCTTCATAATTTTGTTCCTCCACAATATAAAAGATTTGTAGTACCGATTAAATCGACAACCATCAAAATATTTTTGAAAAAATCCTGGTGGAAAACTACTCTATTCGTATTCGGGACGTCCTTCAAAATGTTTTTTTTTTAATGACGGCTTGTGGGAAGGGGTTCCTCACAAAATTTGCCTAAAAATCCACCAGAAATATCCTGTACAACTATTTTTTAAGAAATCCATCATTTATGTATCATTGTTCACGAGATCCTTCAAAATATTCTAAAAATATAACAAACATTTTTGGTCAGAACACCCCTCAAAATGTTCTTAAAAATAGCGGTTTTAGTGAAGGGGTTCCTCTCAAAATTTATGTGAAAACTCTTAGAATTTTCTCCAGAAATACCTTGGGAAAATATTCTTTAGAGATCCATTTTTTATTATAGCCGGAAAGTCTCTGAAAAATGTTTGTAAATAAATTGTCAGGATGTCCACGAAAAAAAGGTTCTTAAAAATCCACAATCTTCGTCACAGAGTCCACCGTCGTTTTCACCAAGAAATCATATAAATCTCCGATTTTTTTTTTTTTTTTTTTTGGAAATCTTAAAAAAATCTTTAAAGGTTTATAGTTTTTGTCCATAAGGCCCTTCAAAATATTATTTTTGTCCAAGGTGTCCTTTAAATTTTGGTCAGGATTTCCTTGAAAAAATGATCCGGTGAATAATGTAGCTAAAATCACCAAAATACCGAATATTGGGAGGTACCATTAATATCGGAGCTATACGAAGCACTGGACCTGCATAGACAATTTTCTGTTATAGGCTGTAGTACCATTACGAATTCTAATTACGAAATTTGAATTGTTGAACTCTGGAGTTAAATGTCGCTAAAGTCATTAAAATACCGAATATGTGGGCTATACGATGTCGTGGACCTATATAGACAATACTCTTCCAGGGGTAAAGTACTCGGAAGGAACTCCTTTTTTGGATTTTCAGACAATTTCATTGAAAAATTTGGCTACAATCAGCAAAATAACGAATACCGGTAAAATGGGGGCTATACGATATCGTGGACCGATATAGCCATCTTCGAATTTGAACTGCCTGCAGACAAAAAACTGATTTGTGCAAAATTTTAGCTTCCTGTCTTAATTCGTTTCGCTAAATCGTCTTAGAATTTGACGCTGATCAAGCGTGTATATACTTTGTTATGTCTAAAATTATTATTTCGATGAGTTACAAACGGAATGACGAACTTTATATACCCTCCATACTATGTATGGTGTAGGGAATAAAAAGAGACCCCCATGTTGATAATAGTTTCCAAAAATTTATCATTTCTTCCTCCAGAAATTTCCCAAAAATTACATATTTTTTCAATAGTAAAGAAATATAGTCTACTCTAGAGGGACTATCTACCATGCAATCTAATATGCAATCCATAGAAAAATCGCAAAAATTGAAATCTAAATAATTGTGCGCTATTAGGAAATTTATGACTCAAATTTTTCAAGAACAAAATATTTCAAAATTTTGCAAAAAAAACAATATGTGGCATAATACATTTTAAAATATAAATGCCAACAGTTAAAATACTATTTATATTTAAAAAAAATAAATTATATTAAAATTATATATACTTATATTTATATATTTGTATTATTCATACATTTTCTAAGCCATTATTTCCTGGAGTCCTTAAGGCCTTACTAAGCAAAAATATATCCTCCAATTCCTTCTATAACCATAAAAATGAAATAAAGTTAGCCCCATGTTGATAAAAGTCTCCAAAAAAATTGAGTATTTCTAGTTCCAAATATTTCCAAAAAATGTTGGTATTTGAAGTCTTTTGTAGTGGCACGCCATACCGACGATATGTAATCCGTAGAAAAAAATGAAATCTAAATAATTTTGTGTTCTTGGCTTTGGAGAACTATACCAGAATGGCTCAAATTTTGCAAAAAAAAGTCTGAACATTTTACAAAAAAAAAAAAAAAATAAAAATAAATAAATTTTTGAATATAAATACCAACAATAATATTTATAATTAAAAATATTATTAAAATTATTTATACTTTTTTTAAATATTTTCATTATTTTAACATTTTTCCAAACAATTCTTCCCTGGAGACCTGAACGCCTCACTAAGCACAACTCAAATGACTTCCATATCCCCAAATGACTTCCATATCTATAAAAATGGCATAACTAACCTTGCCAGCAAATTAGCTAAGACACGCCATGAATGCCTTCCTAGACACCTTAAAGGGCATAAAATTGCACCAAGTCTTTAATCTACAAAGAAAACCACACAATCTTGTAATGCCAAGTGTTTAAATTAAACAGCCTATCAACATTGTTAAGAAAAAAACATTCTTACTTTCCCACCCCCCTTGCCAATTGTGGCCAAGGGCCTTAGATGAAACAACCTCGCAACAAAGATAATTGCATGGCAACAACAAGTTAGGAAGCGCCAGTGTTTTACCCAGAATGTCATCAGAATGAAAGACTAGAAGACAAAAAAAGGTTTGCGTCTTAAGTCTTTTGTTTTATACGAAGCGAGTGAGATACACAGGCAAGCAATCGTAGGCATTTTTGTTGCTATGTGTGTGAGGTGGATTGGAATTCATTATTTTTACAAGCACGCAATGGTATATATTACAACAATAAAAACAACAATTATTGTTATTTTATTAATTTAAAATATTTATTTTTATACCCTCCACCATACTATGGAGGGTATATTAAGTTTGTCATTCCGTTTGTAAAATCTCGAAAAATACATTTTAGACCCTAAGGCGATCTAGCGACGTATGTTTGTCTGTGGAAATTACTCTAGCTTCCGAACGAAATTAAGAAGGTTGATAAATTTTTACTCAAATGTATATTATGTTTTCAGGACTTTTGGTATTGAAAATGGGTCATGTAGGTCCACGTTTTGGTATAGCTCCCATATAACTGTACCTCACGATATTCGATATTTTAATGATTTTAGCGACAATATTCATCGGAATTCTTTCAAATTTGGTATTTGACGTTCGTAATGGGTACCACAGCCTACGACAGAAAATTGTGTGTACAGGTCCACGTCTTCGTATAGCCCCCATATAACGGTACCTCCCTATACTCGGTATTTTAATGATTTTAGCGACATTATTCACCGGAATTGTAACAAATTTCGAATTAAAAGTTCGTAATGGGTACTACAGCCTATGACAGAAAATTATCTGTGCAGGTCCATGTCTTCGTATAGTCTCCATACAACGGTACCTCCCGATATTCGGTATTTTGGTGATTTTAGCGACATTATTCACCAGAATTGTTTCAAATTTGGCATTTGAAATTCGCAATGAATACTTCATCCTATGACAGAAAATTGTCTGTGCAGGTCCACGTCTTCGTATAGCCCCCATATATCGTTACCTCCCAATATTCGATATTTTAATGATTTTAGCGACATTATTAACCGGAATTGTTTCAAATTTGTTATTTGAAGTTCATAATGGATACTACAGCCGTAGACGGAAAATTGTCCATGCAGGTCCATGTCTTCGTATAACCCTCATATAGTGGTACTTCCCGATATTCGGTATATTGATGATTTTAGCGACATTTTTCACCTGAATTGTTTCAAATTTGGTATTTGAAGTTCGTAATGGATACTATAGCCTGTGACCGAAAATTGTCTATGCTGCTCTAGATCTTCGTATAGGCCCCATATATCAGTACCTCCCTATATTCGGTATTTTAAAGATTTTAGCGCCGTTATTAACCTGAAATGTTTCAAATTTGGCATTTGAAGTTCGCAATGAATACTACAGCCTAAGACAGAAAATTGTCTATGCAGGTCCCCGTCCTCGTATAACCCCCATATGACGGTACCCCTATATTCGGTATTTTTATGACTTTAGCGACATTATTCACCGGAATTGTTTCAAATTTATTATTTGGAGTTCGCAATGAACACTACAGCTTTAGACAGAAAATTGTCTATTCACGTCCAGGTCTTCGTATAGGTCCCATATATCAGTACCTCCCAATATTCGGTATTTTGATAATTTTAGCGACATTATTCACCGGAAATACTTCAAATTTGGTATTTAAAGTTCGTAATGGATGGTACAGCCTAAGACAGAAAATTATCTATGCAGGTCCAGGTCTTCGCATAGCCCCCATATAACGGTACCTCCCGATATTCGGTATTTTTATGACTTTAGTGACATTATTCACCGGAAATGTTTCAAATTTGGTATTTGAAGTTCGTAATGGACGGTACAGCCTAAGACAGAAAATTGTCTGTACCCCCCATTTAACGATACCTCCCGATATTCGGTATTTTGAGGATTTTAGCGGCAATATTCACCGGAATTGTTTTAAATTTGGTATTTGAAGTTCGTAATGGGTACTACAGCCTACGACAGAAAATTGTATGTGCAGGTCTACGTCTTCGTATAGCTCCCATACAACGGTACCTCCCGATATTCGGTATTTTGATAATTTTAGCGACATTATTCACCGGAATTGTTTCAAATTTGGTATTTGAAGTTCGTAATGGATATTACAGCCTACTACAGAAAATTGTCGATGCAGGCCCAGGTCTTCGTATAGGCCCCATATAACGGTACCTCCCGATATTCGGTATTTTCATCGATTTTTTTTAAGTTTCGCTTTTGAATATTGTAATGGCTGTAATGTTGCCTATGCAGGTCCACGTCGTCGTGTAGACCCTAATATAACGGTTACAATCGATATTTTTAAGATTTTAACAGAATTTTTAAGATTTTAACAGAATTTTTAAGATTTTAACAGAATTTTTAACGATTTTTTTTTTTTTTTTGAAAATTGCCAAATTCGCTCCAAATGGTAGAGGTTATTCAAAGATCGACCCGGCCGACCTTAATGTTTTTTACTTGTTTTTGTTTAATTTTTATTGCAATTTGAAATTTTATTTTAATTTGTTTCCTTCTTTTATTTTTTTGCTTCTTCTTTTCAGATTACGTTCAAAATAACATTACATAAACGTTGTGGTGCTGTAATCTTGTTGTAGTTATTTTAAACAGTTCTTCTACCACACAACCATCTGGAAATTGCCCCCAAAACAAACAACAGCAACAACAACATCATTTCATTTCGCATTAAAAATGGAGTACAATATAGAAAATAAAAGGCAAAGGCATCATCTGCATATCCAACGATCATCTTTAACTGTTAAATTCTACTTAGCGGTAAGTGTTTTTCATTATTTTTAGTTGGACTCTTAAACCTTTTAGAATTTTATCTCCTCGCCAGAGATGCGGAGCAAAACTGTATGTGTTTACATGCCAACAATTAAGTTAGTTGTAAACAGCAATGTTAGCTGTTTTTTTTTTGTGTATTATTATTTAACTTTAGTTAGTTTTCGGCTCGTTGGAGTTTTATAGCCCAGCAATCTGGCAGCTGAGATTAATTAATTTCGAAACATATAGAGCAGAATGTTGCGTATCATGAGCAAAAACAAAAAAAAAAAAAAAAATAAGTTAGTCGTCTAACTTTATATGCAAATTCAAAGTAATCATTAATCTTGCTTATGCTCACGTGTGTGTGTATGTGTGTGTGTAATGAAGATTGTTATGTTAACATTTTAATTTCGGACATTTCTTCTCTTATATACAGTGGGACATGGCTATTTTCTATCTTCTAATTTTAACTATACTAAACAGACGTATTTGACTTAATTTTAGAAATTCAATACCATATCTGGCCATTTGTTAAATTTATTGGTTATTAATAGCCACAATTGACTGTAGACCTCTATTAACTAAAAACTTTACTTTATTTCGGGATTTTTATTTCCACAACAACAACAACAACAAATCATCTTGAACATGTTTTGGGCAAAAACATTAGGTAAACTATTATAACGTAACTTAATTTAAGACAGTTAAACAAACTTCCGCGCTGATTTGTTTCTGATAGCATTTACATACATACGTTCACAGAAATATACAAACAAACATCGCAAAGTAATTCAGAATTGGACAGACAAAAAAAAATTTTTTCAATTTTTTACATCACCTATTTAAAAAAAATTTTTGGAATTCATAGAAAACAAAGGTAGACCAAAAAAAATTAGTCAAAATATATTCTTCTGAAATATATGTGAAAAATATTTTTCCAGAAATGATTTCCTATTTTTAACAGAAAATTTCGAAAAAATAAATTAAAAAAGGGGAAAAAAGTAAAAAAGCAGTTGAGTTCGGCCGGGCCGATTTTTAAATACCCTCCACCATTTGGAACGAATTTGGAAATTTTCAAAAAAATAAAATACGTTAAAAATTCTGTTAAAATCTTAAAAATAATTTTTTTTTTCAATATGTATATATTTTGACTCCTTGGACCTCCCAAAATAATTTCGAAAGACATTGACAGTTAGGATAGTCGTCTTTGAAAAACTGCTTATTTTTGTAGCATTCTGTTTTCACTTGTTAAACTTTTGCTGAGTTTATGTCAATTTCAGCATTAAGCTGTCCTGAATTTTCAAAGTCCAAAAAATCCCAAGGACAGATAGGCCAGCCAAGATAAATATCTTCCATGCTGGCTAGTCTGCTTAATTATACCTTCAGCCAGAGGGTATATATCATTTGATACGGCTAAAGCGTAACTCATCGAAATAACGGTTTAGGTCTCTTTGGACCAAATCCGTTTCAGGACATTTGGAGTCGAATTCATAGAAAACAAACGTAGTCCAAAAAAATTTAGTCAAAATATTTTCTTCCGAAATATATGTGAAAAATATTTTTCCAGAAATGATTTCCTATTTTTAACAGAAAATTTCGAAAAAAAAAATTAAAAAAGGGGAAGAAACTAAAAAAGCAGTTGAGTTCGGACGGGCCGACTTTTAAATATCCTCCACCATTTGAAACGAATTTGGAAATTTTCAAAAAAAAATAAAATGCGTTAAAAATTCTGTTAAAATCTTAAAAATACCGAATATAACCGTTATACTGGGGTCTATACGAAGACCTTAACCTGCATAGACAATTTTCTGTCACAGGCTGTAGTACACATTGGGAACTTTAAAAATGAAGTTTCAAACAATTTCGGCGAATAGAGTACCTAAAACTATCAAAATACCGAATATAGGGAGGTACTGATATATGGAGCCCATAAGAAGACCTGGACCTACATAGACAAATTTCTGTCATAGACTGTAGTTCTCATTACGATATTCGGTATTTTCATGATTTTAGGGACATTGTTAACCCGAATTGTTTCAAAATTCGTATTCGAAATTTGTAATGGGTACTACAGCCTATGTAAAAAATTCGTATGCAGGTTCACGTCTTCATATAGCCCCATATAACAGTATCTCCCTATATTCGGTATTTTGATTATTTTAGCGACATAATTCATTCGAATTGTTTCAAATTTTGTATTTGAAGATATTAATGGGTACTACAGACTATGACAAAAAATTATTTATGCAGGTCCACGTCTTCGTATACCCCCCGTATAAAGGTCATCATTTAAACTTTATTTTTCGGATTTTTTTTTGAAAATTTTAAAGTTCCTTCCAATTGGAGGAGTTTATTAAAAGTTATTCCCGGCCGAACATAGCTGCTGTTTTACTTGTTTTTTTTTTTTTTTTGTTTAGTATTTCAGAAAAAAAGTTCCTTTGCATTTATCTAAAAAAAACCATCGTTCTTTCTCGAAAATTGTCAACACCATCGAAGAAATTAGTTATAGTTTTTGAGTTAGGGTCACAGTCGAAGGGGGCGTCCCTGTGGACATTTCCTCTCCGAAGTGTTAAATTTTTTTGAGAATTTGAAATCTTTTGTTTAAAAATGTACATATTTTGACTCTTTGGACCTTCGCAAATAATTTCGAAAGACCTTGACAGTTAGGATAGTCGTCTTTGAAAAACTGTTTATTTTTGTAGCAGTCTGTTTTTACTTGTCAAACTTTTGCTGAATTAATGTCAATTTCAGCATTCAGCTGTCCTGAATTTTCAAAGTCCAAAAATCCCAAGGACAGATAGGCCAGCCAAGATAAAAATCTTCCATGCTGGCTAGTCTGCTTTATTATACCCTCAGCCAGAGGGTATATATCATTTGATACGGCTAAAGCGTACCTCATCGAAATAACGGTTTTAGACTCTAGATCTCTTTGGACCAAATCCGTTTCAGAACATTTGGAGACGATCTAGGGGTGTCCGTCCGTCTGGCTGGCGCGCACGATAACTCTTGGAGGGAGTATCCGATTTGGTCCAAACTTGCTACATCGTAATATTATTGTCAAACTTAGAACGAGTTCGAGTTTTCAAAAAAATATTTTAGTGCACACAAAGAGAAAAGATATTGCGATTGTCCTCTAACTTGGCAAATCCTAATATTTGCAGAAGTGCTAGGTCAGGTGCGAAAATAGATATTATCGTTCCTCACCATCAAGTACCTCCCCCACAAAGGGTCAAAACTTTGAAAAATTCTATGTCTTAAAAATGTTATGTAAGAGTCCGATTGTCTTCAAATTACACATATCACAATAATTTTATTAACCGGAGGTCTAGTGTGAAAATGGAAAATATTGGTCCACTCCATCTAGTACCACCCCACACAAGAGTTCGAAATTACGTATATTTTTCAAATTTAAAAAATTAACATCTTATTCCATTCAGAATTGACACATGTGAATATTTGTATCAACACAGGATCTGTTATAAAGATTGTAAAGTTTGGACCATCCCTTCTGGTACCCATAAAGGTTCAAAGTTTTAAAAAACCAAAACGATTATAAAATCCAAAATAAGCATATGGTTCTCTTTATATTTCTTACATCCCATTATTTCCATTACCATAAGATCTGCTGTGAAGATGGAATATATCGGTTCACTCCTTCTGGTACCTCCCCCATAAAGGGCCGACATTTTAATATCCTTGAATCTCATAAAACGCGAAAAAGTTTTGAATAACCAAAACGATCATAAAATCTGAAATAAGCATCCTGTTTTCTTCATTTTCTTACATCCCATTATTTCCATTAACATAAGATCTGCTGTGAAGATGGGATAGATCGGTCCACTCCTTCTGTTACTTCCCTCACATTTGAATATCCTTGTATATCATAAAACGCGAAATTAACATCCGATTCCATTCAGACTCGATGCATTTCAATATTTTCATCATGACAAGATCTGTTATAAAGGTGATAGAGATCGGACAATTCCTTCTTGTACCTCCCCCACTTAGGGTCAAAGTTTTGAATAACCAAAACGATCATAAAATCTGAAATAAGCATCCTGTTCTCTTCATATTGCACGCATACAAAACATTTTTGCTAATATAAGATCTGTTGCGAAGATCTGCTAAGCCCTTGCGCTCAAAGGATCAGAAATACGAAAGAAATACTCTTTTCTGCCATAACTTGCAAAACACTTCCGCGATTCTTTACAATTTGATGTATCTAAATATTTCTCTCAACCAGGAATCTGGGATTTATGATTTCGAATAAAATTGGATATTAATGTTCCATTTTCTTGTAATTGCGCCCATACCAATATTTTTGATCTGCATTTGACGAAATAAGAAAATTGAATATTTCGGTCCACAATATCTGGTACCTCTCGCACATTTCAACATATTCTAAAAATTATAACATATCTCATACAAAGTGAAGGAAGTAGTCGATATAGTCCAAACCTGGCACACCGCAATATTTATATCATATTTATTTAGGTCCGATACGAAATGGACAGTATTGGCTCATTTCTTCGGAACTTACTCCATAGAGGGTCAATCGTTTGAATAAACATAGCCGGAGTCAAAATATATTTAAATATTCAAACATTGGCTGAGGGTATACATCTGACGGCAAAACCGACTGATCCTTTTTAAATTGTTTTTGTATATTTTTATCGGAAAGAAAGAAATTTTCGAAAATTTCCCGAAAACTGGAAATTCTTTTATTTCCCATAAAACACCAATAAAAAATCTCCAATCACTAAAAATTTCAAAGTAGCAGGTACCTTTGAAAACCCATAAAATCTGTTATCTAAAAGTAATTAAATAATTAAAACAAAACAAAATTCCAATAATATGTTATTAACTACGGCCAATAGCCATAAAAAAACGTGTGGGGATACACCCTCTCCGAAGAAGAAGCCAACTGCCTACCAAGAATAAATTCACTGTACCGTGTAACGTGTTCTGTTTTCCGAAAAGAAACCAAAAACCCTTATTACTTGCTTTTC